GGGGGAAGGAAAGAGAAAAGAGGTAAAGAGACACAGAGACAGAGAGGGAGGACAGACGAGGGAGACAGGAGCAGAAAGAGAGGAGGAGGAGGAGAGAGAAAGAGCAGTAAGAACAAAAAGAACAGTAAGAGCAGAGCTTAAGAGAGCGGGATCTGTCTTTTAAAGGGGTCCTTTGCACCTGCGTGCGGACTAGTACTCACGGAACCCTGGACTGACCAGGGTACCGCCTGAGTGCATTCTGCCAGGTGACGGGGCAGGCAGCATAATGCCTGAATCCTTACACTATCTCATCCAGTTTGATTCCTCTTAGAATTTATGCCCTGACTCCACAAGTCTCATTACTCCAGCCTCCCAAACTGCAGAGTGTGCGCGGGCTGGGAGCCCCAGCTGTGCTTTCTCTGCCTCTGACACCTCCCCTGGCAATAAGCAGAACTCTGCTGGGGGTTTTCTAATGATGCCTGCCGCAATGGGCAACACTGCAGCTCATTAACCGTAGCACTCATGCTATGGGGCTAGTGGGAACAAACGCTTATTTAGTTCCAGAAAATGAGTCAGCCCCCTCCCCCTCCCCCTCCCCCACTAGAAATCAGAAGATGCCGTTATAGAAAGAGGAACTTATTTTGCAGGAGCCGCCACCCTGGAGATGAGGTGCTGATCTTCTGAGGCGGGAACACGGCGTGGCTCAATCTTAGCCTCTGTGCTGGAAGAATCACACCCCTGACTGAGTGGGAAAACAGATGCCGGAACCCCCCAACGGGGCAATTCTCCTTCACTTCCCTAGCCTGTTCTCATGGGGTCCAGCTAAGCTGAGCTAAATTGTGCCAATGAGAAAAGCGCCGGGGTCCATGTTAGGAAATCCTGCGGACTCGCCCTGGGTAGGCGCTGTTCCGAGTGCTTTACTCCATCCATCTAAGGGTGTCTAGTCCTCCTCACAGTGAGGCCTCAGCCGCCTCATCTTCCAAAACTGAGGCTCATGGAGGTTAACAGCATGCTCGAGAGCCCATAGCTAATGTGAAACTGTGAAAAGAACAAGAATTTGAACCCAGGCCAGCAGGCTCCTTGGCACACAGCAGTCTTAGCCGCACCGCTGATTTAGGGTGGTGGTTGACAATGTCTTTTATTTATTTTGTGGGGAGGGACGTATGAACGCCATAGAGAAGTTGTGGAGGTCAGAGGGCAAGCAAAGGGCAAGTCTGTTCTCTTCTCCTTCCACCATGTAGATCCCTGGGATAAAACTCAGGCCGTCAAGCTTGGCAGAAACCGTCTTAACCCAGTGAGCCCTCTAGAGGCGCCAAAGCCAAAGCCCAGCTTTTTTTTTTTTTTTTGAGACCGTGGTCTTATGTAGCCCCAAAAGAGGGGGGGGCAGGTGGTGGCACACACCTCTAATATTTAATGCCAGCACTTAGGAGGTGGAGGCAGGCAGACTTCTGAGTTCGAGGCAGCCTGATTACAGAGTGAGTTCCAGGTCAGTCAAGGCTACACAGAAACCCTGTCTTGGGGGGGGGGGGGTTGCAACAAAGGATAGCGAATTTGTAAAATGGCAAACTTCTTCAGTCGCCAGACTTGAAACAAAAGCCTGACAGCTTGAAACGAAAGTCTTCCAGGCTTTTTTCCTCCCACCGGCAGGCCCCCTGCTGATGGACTGGCTCTACGAGTTCGAAGCCTGATCAGGACATGTTACGATACAGTTGTGGGCCAATCAACCATCGTATCTTTCTTCAAAGTGACCAATTAAATTAGGGGAGAAAAAAACCTCAGGCCTCAAGAACGGACTGGATTTTCCAGCTTCCGGAATCCCCCCACACACACCTTGCTTTGCAGGGAGCCTTTTTCTCTGTACCTCTGTTGCATCTGTGTTTTCTGACTCCCGAAAAAAAAACACTTTCCTTCAAGTACCGAGTCTGTGGTTGTTTGCATGTTTGAGATTTCTCTACTGCCACCGCTGCCCTTGAGGTTTTTTCTGACCTTTAGTTCTTTAACTGGCAGTTAAAGTAAACCCCATCAAGACGCCCTAACCTGTACGGAGGCCAGAGGTCAAATTCGACTTTGGTGCCTCCCAGGTGCTTGGATCTTACAAACACCGTCGGTCGCACCTAGCATTTTAAGTGAGTTCTCATGCTTGGATAGCAAGCACTTTATAGATTGAGCCATCTTCCCAGACATAGGGTATTTTTTATGTAGAAATATTTAATACTGATTTAGTCTAGATAGGATTTCAAAGAAAACTTTGTATTGGTTTCAGATTCTGGAAGTTAATTTCTATCTTTATCTCTTATGGACGTTCTGTCTGTATAATACGTCTGTACACCATCAGCATGCCCGGTATCCTGGAAGGCCAGTAGAGGGCGCCAGGTCCCCTGGAACTGGAGTTACAGGATGGCTGCCTTCTAACATTTGATGACTACATCCTCAATAAACCATTAGAGTTCAGCTTAAAAGTGGAAAGTGAGCCGGGCGTTGGTGGCGCACGCCTTTAATCCCAGCACTCGGGAGGCAGAGGCAGGCGGATCTCTGTGAGTTCGAGGCCAGGCTGGACCGACAGCCTCCAAAACAGGGAAACCCTGTCTCGTAAAACCAAAAAAAAAAGTGGAAAGTGAAAAAAGGTGATTTATTCAACGTGGCACATAGCAAAAAGTAACAAATATATTGAGCAAACTCCTCAAGTCTGTCTCCAGGGTCCTGAGGTGAGTTCAAAGTTTAAACAAAGGGCCAAAAATATGTACATTAAGCGATCCATGAAGGTGTGGTACTGCCCATCACACGTGAATGAGAACTCCTAAGAAGAAGCTGCGTCTGCAGAGACTGACTGGCCAGTTAGTTTCAATACTGTGGAGAGGTTGGAATGGTGCAGGTCCAAGGGCTAACTGCCTCATCTTGGGCTAGCTCTAGCCCTCCAGAACGCCATTCCTTGCCTGCCTCAGCATCAGAGCTAATATCCTGAGATAGCATATAGAAAAGCTTCCCCGCCTCGCTGTCCCTCCCACTCTGATCAACCTGCCTTGATTCCTGACTTTGTTCTTTACACTATTCAAACTTCATTAAACTGCTTCCACGTTGAAACATGGAACTTGGGGTAGCCTAAATGTGTTTCCAACGACTCCAGAATAACCTACCTCTTGTTCCCTTTAAGAGGAAAGCTGTGGAGACAGGGGTTGATGGCACACGCCTTTAATCCCAGCACTTGGGAGGCGGAGGAAGGCAGATCTGGTCTACAGATCGAGTGCCAGGATAGGCTCCAAAGTTACACAGAGAAATCCTGTCTCGAAAAAGAAAAAAAAAAGGTAAAAGCTGTGGATTTTGCTACAGACATCACTGTCTGGGCTTCAGTCACATCCTGTAAGGCAGTTGGGATTCTGTGACATCTCCGGGAGACAAGGTGTTCCCCTCCCCCACTGGTGCCTGTTCCTGCTCTCAGTATGAGATTCCTGGGGAAATTTCCATTTCTTTGGAGTCCATTGTTTCAGCAGTTTGATAGAATGAGAGACACACAGGTGTCTCTTTAGAGTATCTTCATTTCTGCCAGGCCTGGTACACCAGGTTTTCTTAAGAGTAGCCAAGTTTCCGGGCCCTGGATGTGAGGTTTGGTTTTTGTTTCGGGGTGTGTGTGTTTCTTATTACGTCTGGATATTAAACATCACCTAGACACCAGGTTTGTAACACAGGGTGTTTAGTCACTGAAAGCCACAAACCAAGCCCCTGACTCTGGGTCATAGCTTCTGTACTCCAGGCCTTCTTTTTCAGCACTACATTCTGTCCTCACTTTACCTGAGAGAAAACTGAGCTGGGAATGCCACATGACCTGCTTCAGGCCAAGTTTCCTTTGTAGACTGAGTCTATGTTACTGATGTCTACCCATGGAGATTCAGTGACGCGTGTCAGCGGTGCCAGTCCTAGACTTCACAAGCCTCGCCGCCACCACCACCTCTGCCTCCTCGATCCTCCAGGGACCTCAAGGCTTTAAATCTTCCTCCAGAGTTCGTCGGAGATTCTCCTTGGGATATGTCTCCCATCTGCCCACCCCCAATCCCAGCTGGAACCTCCCTGACTACCGTCACAGCCGCTGCTGTCCACCCTAGAGACCTTCCCTAAGCACGGATTAAGTTGTTACCCAACAAGTTCCGGTCTCTGGAGTCTCACATGTTTTCCCTGCCTCCATCCACCTTGCTAAATCTTCCAGGTTCCTCACCGCCAATAGCTGGAACAGGCTTCCAGTTACCTGTTCTGTCAGTTTGGACTCTTTGCTCTCGCAAGCACAGTAAGAACAAGCCTGTTTGTGATACCCACCTAGCCTGGCCTATTTCAACGAGCTCTCCTCACACTTTTTCTCTTTCCCCCTCAGAGACTCCTTGGCTCTTTCCACAATACGACCATTTCACACTTCTGACTTCACCTTCCTTGGAGTGGTCCTCCGGGTTGTTAGCTGGTACAGGCACGCTAGATAGCATCCTGAAAATACTTTGGTCTGGAGGTCATTGAATTAGAATATTTTCTCGATTTACTTGTTACTGGGTAAGAAATTAAGGCGCAGAGAAGAAGTGCGCACCCTAAATCACACGGCACGTAGGAAACAGATTCGAAGCCACACACCGCAGCCTTCCGCACCTGCGGTCACGAAGACGCTACCTAATCCTTTTCCCTCTTCCCCCCAAAGGCTCGTTTGCTCTTTCCACAATACAATCATCTCTCCCCACAACATATCAGTCAGTGTTAACTCTGGCTATGTACTGGTCCCAAGCAGAAAAAAAATTTCTCTGGGTAAAATCTGCAGCAAGAGAGAAAACTCCCTGTTTGCCAAGAGGGTGCCTAGAACTGCAGGGCGCAGGTAGCAACCTCCAGCCCCGCCCCCAAGCGCTCCAGGCCCCGCCCCCAAGCGCTCCAGGCCCAGGCACGCCGGGCTAGGACGGAGCGGAAGTCCCAAGTCCCGCCCTCTGCATAAGACCGGCATGGACAGGCAGAAGTCTGAGCCAATGAGAAGGCAGAGTCAGTCGCCTTAGTCCTATGGGCTGCGACAACACGGAACACGAGTGTCTTTCCGGGTCCTCGCACGCGTCTCTGTGCTCCAGCCGGACTTGCTGCTATTGAGAGAGCCAACGGTGCAGGTAAGCCTGCTCCGATGCCTGCCGCGCTCCTGGGTGCCGAAAGAGGGTGTCACTGTTCCCACGCAGACGTCGGGGAAGGCCGGGCAAGGGCCGGAGAAATGAGCAAGTGACACGGCGGGAGTGGGCGTGGGCCCGAGCCTGGCGGGTCCTGCGGGGTTCCCAGGGTCACCTGCAGCGTCCGGCTTAAAGACCCAGGGCCGTCGCCTCCGTTGAAATTAGGGCTGTGATGGAGCATAAGCCCAGTAGCACTTTTTGTTATAAATTCTGGAGGAGGGTCTTGTTTTAGTTTTTTTGTTTGTTTGTTTGGTTTTGTTTTGTTTTTTCGAGACAGGGTTTCTCTGTATTGTTTTGGAGCCTGTCCTGGAACTCGCTCGGTAGACTTTGTCTCGAACTCACAGAGATCCATCTGCCTCTGCCTCCCGAGTGCGGGATTAAAGGCGTGCGCCACCAACGCCCGGCTTGTTTTAGTTTTTTGTTGCTGTTGTTTTGTGTTTTTATTTTTATGAGTATTTGGCTTGCATGTGTGTGTGTGTGTGTACTGCAAGCATGCCTAGTGTCCACGGAGGCCAGAAAAGGTCACACAGATCCCGTGGAACTGGAGTTACAGATGGTTGTGAGCTGCCTTGGAAGATGCTGGGAATCGAATCTAGGTTCTCAGTGCTCTTTTTTTTTTTTTTTTTTTTTTTTTTTTTTTTTGGTTTTTCGAGACAGGGTTTCTCTGTGGCTTTGGAGGCTGCACACACACCTTTTTAAAAGAGCGTTTGTTTGTTTGGTTGGTTGGTTGGTTTTTCTTTTTTTTTTTTTTTTTTTGGTTTTTTTGGTCTTTCGAGACAAGGTTTCTCTGTGGCTTTTGAGGCTGTCCTGGAACTCACTCTGTAGACCGGGCTGGCCTCGAACTCACAGAGATCCGCCTGCCTCTGCCTCCCCGGTGCTGGGATAAAAGGCACCACCACCCGACTCTATTTATTTATTTATTATGTGTGTGTGGAGGGTTGTGTGCACTTACACGCCTATGGAAAATGGAAGAGACCAAATCTGTCAGACTCCTGGAGCTGAGGTTTGAGACTTGAATTCCTTTGTGGGTGCTGAGTACCAAACCCTCTGTAAGCAGCAAGCGCTCTTAACCACTGAGCCATCTCTCCAACCTTAGTGGTATCATGCTCAGACACACAAAGAGAGGTTAAGGGTGGCTTGCCTGAGGATTTGTGCAGGCTGGACTGTGGAGGAGTTAGTAAATTAGCCCTGGTGTGGGCCAGCCTCCATTTGCCGCCACACCACGTTGTGTATTAGTGAGAAAGGCTGTCTTTCCACACCATTTCTTCAGAATCTCGGTGCATTTGTGGTCTCCCCGGTGACTTTGGGGACCACAGCACTCTCTCCACCTTTGAGATCCACAGGCACTATCTTGTGTGTTGAAGCAGAGCAGTAAGAAGGCGTGGGGACAGGCGTTGTGGTGCACACCCTTAACCCCAGCACTCGGGAGGCAGAGGCAGGCAGATCTCTGTAAGTTCGAGACCAGCCTGGACTACCAAGCAAGTTCCAGGACAGCCTCCAAAGCCACAGAGAAACCCTGTCTCGAAACACCAAAAAAAAAGGGGGGGGCGTGTGGCGTGGAAACTAAGGAATCAGCTTCCTGGAGAACTGAAAAGCCCCACTGTCTGGATATTGAGTTGTAAATAACAGTGGAAATTAATTAAAGTGTTTCCTGTGGGTGATTGTGCCCACAAGTGTTGGGGACCCCCTCTTGAACCTTTAATGCAACTTTGTGTGTTCTATAAGCCTCGGTTTCCATGTTGCGAAGTGGGGTTTGATTTTAGTGCTATTGTGTGTGATGTTTTTGTGCAAGTGTGCGTGTGGAGGTGGTTCTCTCCTGGGGGTTTCAGGGGTGGAATTTATAAGGATAGGGGTATGTGTGAGTGAATGCTGTTTGTATGGGAGTGCCCTCAATGGCAGAAGACTGTTGGATCACTTGGAACTGAGATACAGGAGGTTGTGAGCCACCTCCTAGTGCGTGTTGGAAACCAAACTCAGGTCTACAAGAGCAGCAAGTGCTCTTAACTGCAGAGCCATCTCTCTGGCCCCTTGTTTTATTTTTCACACTGGACAGAAATCCTAATGAGCCACCTGCATTTTCCCATTTCCCTTGTTCACTCATGGTCCACACTGTGGAGGGTAGAAGCTTATCGAAGGGGCCATTTTATGCTGGGTTCTACCAACCAGTGGCATTAGCATTTTGCATCTTGCTATGTCTTAGGAATTAGGGTCTTACTGGATTTTTCGATGATTGCATTATCTCTCACCTTATTTATTTATTTGATTTTTGTGTGGTTGTGTGGAAGTTAGAGGACAACCTAAGGTGTCATTTGTCACCTGTCTTGTTGGACTCACGGAGATCCACCTGCCTCTGCCCGGCCCCTTGCACTTGATTCTCAAGGTACCAAACTGTCCTCAGGCTCCCCACATGCCTGTCTGTCCCCCAGTCCTCCAGCTCCTCCTCAGTCCTCACAGGGCCTTCAGCTCCTTGCTTCCCTGCTAGGATGTGAGTGAGTGGGGTGTCATGAGGCAGGGGCCATAGCCCCGCCCACTTCCCAATGCCGGGTGCACATCGGGTGTTGTGTAAATATAAACTACTAAGGGAAAAGCATCCAGCAGAGGAAAGCTGCCTAGGGTTTGAAGCGAAGCAGAGACAGAGACGCTTAATGGTTAAAGCTCTGGCTTTAATTTTCAAAGGACCAGTTTTGATTCCTAGCACCCGCATGAGGTGCTAGGGGGGCTCATACTGTCTGTAACTCTAGCTCCAGGGCCCTCTTCCTGGCCTCCATGGGTACCAGGCACACAGTAAGCGATGCACAGACACAGATGTGGGCATAACACCCGTATACTGTTTGTTTTTTGAATATCTCATAAGTGAAGGGGACTAGAGATACAACTCAATAGTTCAGCCCCAAGCACCACAGAAGAAAGAGTACATAGCAGCAGGTTTGTTATTGTTTGGGGCTTTTTTGTTTGTTTTTGTCTTTTTTTTTTTTTTTTTTTTTTTTTGCTCAGCAGTAATTTTCACATAGCCAACTAGGTCATTAGGTTCTAAGAATAGAAAAAACAACAATGAATCTCTTGCCTAGCATGCACAGGGCCCTGAGGTCTCCAGCACTGTAGCAAAACAAAAAGGAATTCATGTCCCATGAGACAGGAGTATGTAAGCAAAGTTTAAAACAAACAAACAAATGCAGATATAAACTACAATGTGGATCTTGACTGTGAACTTGCATTTTAGAAACACACTTTTCTAACCCAGTCTCGAAAAACCAAAAAAAAAAAAAAAAAGAAACACACTTTTCATTCTTAAACATGGGCTTTTTTTTTTTGGTAAGGGTGTGCTTTTTGGTTTTTTTGGTTTTTGGTTTTTGGTTTTTTTTTTGTTTTTTTTTTTTGAGGGTCTTGGGTAGCTGGGGCCGATCTCAATCTCCTTGTGTAACCCAAAGAATAGCCTTGAACTTCGGACCCTCCTGCTTACCCTCCCGTGTGCTGGGGATTACAAGAGTGCCACCAGGCCTTCTTAAGTTTTATTTCTTTTTATTTTATGTGTTGGGTGTTTTGCCTGCATGTGTGTCTGCACTGCGCAGTCAGTGCTGGGAAGAGGCCTTTATGCCTGTGGTAGTCAGAGGACAACTGGAATTGACTCTACCATTTGGGTCCTGGGTTCAGATTCTCCTCACATTTGGTGAAGCCCTTACCACTCACCAACACCAAGCAGTTTCCCAAGCCTCGGCTTTTGTTTTGATTATTATTATGTGTGTGTGACATGGGATGTGCTCATGAGTGTGGGTGCCCTCCAGAATGGAGTTAACAAGCGGGTATGAGCCACCTGACGTTGGTGCTGGGACCCGAACTCAGGTCCTCTGCAAGAGCAGTGCATGCTCTCATAACTGCTGGGTTCTTTTGAGAGTCTCACTAGGCAGCCTAGGCTGGCCTTAATTTAGTGGCCTCACTGCCTCAACCTTCCAAGTGCAGGCTTTTGGCCATTCAAAGCCAGTGCAGGAATGGGGACTAAATGTGACTCCCCAACTTCGACCGTAAGGATTGTTAGTTGCTACCTCGACAAGAGCATTTTAGCAGAATGCCGGGGGTGGGGAGATGAAGACATTGAATTTACGTGTAGGTCACTCTTCTGGATTGTGTCTGCGCCTTTGCATCAGAGGCGGGGCACAGAGATAGAAGGTAGACTTAGACAGGACCCAGACATCTGTGATGTCCCCCAAGGAAGGATGAGGTGGATATCTAGGTGAGGAGGGTGTCTTGGAGAGGCATGGAGACAGATGTTTATTTCTCCAAGACTAGAGTTAAAATCCACACAAAGCCAGCAGTTACACAGGCTCTGAGTTCAAGGCCAGCCCAACTGTTCTACAGAATGAGTTCCAGGACAGACAGGGGTACACAGAGAAACCCTGTCTGGGAGGTGGGGGGCAGGGTACAAAAAAGAATTCACACAAGTGTTAGTGGAGACGATGTGGAAGGAATTGAGGCATCCATATCTGGTCACGTCTCATCTCTGTCAGTGGTGGGCCGGGATACTGGGAAAGTTCTAGAAGCAGACTTTTTGGGTGGCAGCCTCACCAATGACCATCGTAAGCTGCCAGGCAAGTGGGAGGGCGCACAGCTGGGGAGTCTGATGCTCTGCTCTTCTCTTACAGGAACAGAAATGAGCAGAAGTGTCTGGCAGAGCAGGAGGAGACGCGGGCGAAGCCACCAGCAGAACCCTGCCTTCAGGCAGAGGGATTCCAGTGAGAGGCAAGTGTACAGGTTTTGGGAGCCAGCTTTGCCCAGTGCTCTTCTGGCTGTCTGGTTCAGTGCTCACACATGAGGTGGCAGTGGAGCCAGTAGGCTCAAAGCTTGACTTGTTGCCATCAGCTCCGGGAATGAGGGCACAGCCATACTCTTAGTTTCACAGTGACTAGCTTCTGACCAAGGTGTTTTTTGACAACTGGAGACCTGCTTTCCCATTTGAAGACTTGGGAAGGGGGAAAAAATATCTGTGGGAATATTATCTTGTGTAAGTCATAGAAAGGGATTTATATATAGTGACCATATATGTTGCTTATATAAATATATGTAGTGTATGGCATATTTATATAATATATGCAAGTCTTTATGTAGAATTATGTGGACTACAAGTCTTTTTGGTGAGGGGGGGTCTTAAAGTCCCCAGATCCACATTTCATTTATTATCCTGCATGAAGTACAAACATCCTTGTCTCAGAACAAGGCCTACCCCCCTCCCAGCTCCTCCCCACCTGGCCTTGGGTGAGGACTCCGAGGGCCTCTGACAGTAGGAAGTCTTCCTGCAGCCCTCCGGTGCATAGGATGCTCCCTCTTTACAGGACATGTGCCAGTGGCAAATTCTTCCTCAGCATGTCAGACCTCCTTTTATGTATCTGATGTGTGTGTATATGTGTGTGCACACGCTCCATGGCATACATGTGAAGGTGAGGTGACAACTTGGGGAATCAGTTCTTTTCTTCCCCACGTGAGTCCCAGGGAGCAAACTCAGGTCACCAGGCTTGACCATAAGCACCTTCACCCACTTAGTTGTCTTACCAACCCGGCCCTCTGTCTAAAATGGATACATTTGGAGTTGGCAAGGTGACTCTGGATATAAACTCCTGCTGCCATGGTAGAAGGAAAGAAAAAAAAAAGTATTCTGTCCCATAAGCCACCCTGGCTTGACTATATAAAAACCCTTAATAAGCTGCCTGGCTGGCCCTTGGAGCCCGTAGCACGAAGTGGGTCTGATTGGGTGTACATCTCAAATTTGGCCCATACTATAGGAAGATCAGCACTATACCCAGTGTTGGTATATTTTGTTAGGGGAGCCATGCATACTTTTTGGGCCTCAGGCCTTCCCCACAGGCCATAATGAGAGTCCCAGCCCAGTTTGGCAGAGTGGCTTGGAAAACTGCTGGGCACAGCCACCTTCTGGGCTCTGTGTGGGAAAAAATGGAGCAGCAGTCCTTGGATGAGAAAGACCAGCATTTGTCATGACACTTAATCCATCCTCCTGCTGATCTCAGATGGGCGGCCTCAGAAAGCTCTGGGCAGCAAAAGGAAAGAAAATAATTTCCCTACGACTGTGCATAGCTTTCGGGATTGATGGGATGCAAGCTAGTCTTGGCTTCCCTCAGCCTAGTTTTGCAAACTAGGGATTCTCTCAGGATTCTCACCCTACCTGTCAGCCCGTGATTGCCACAGAGGTCACTGGTGGCTCTACAATCCGGTGTGTTGATCATGGCTCCATCCTAGTGTTTTTTGTTTTTGTTTTTAATTTTTATTTATTTATTGTATATGATGCCCTCCTGCATACCAAAAGAAGGCATCAGATCCCATCGTAGATGGTTGTGAGCCACCATGTGGTTGCTGGGAATTGAACTCAGGACTTCTGGAAGAGCAGCAGTCAGTGCTCTTAATCTCTGAGCCATCTCTCCAGTCCTCCATCCTAGTGTTATGGAGGAAATTGCCTCTGTCCCTCGAGTCCCAGTTTTTCCATCTGTAAGGTTGTCTGGCCAGATAAAATTTAAACTCTCCTGCTGCTGAAGCCAACAAGGAATGAGACTCACCTGGCTATGTAAATGCTGCTAAGCAGACAGACAGCCCAGCTAGTAACATTCTTAGTGGCAACAATTTCTGGTTTTCTTTTCGTCCTGGAAAATACCCAAGTGAGAAGATAAAGGATTCCTATAACAGGTGTCCTCTTAGGAAGGGAGGGAGGGATCAGAGGAGAAGAGAAGGGAAGAAAAGGAGAGACTGGCCCTTGTTTTGGTGTTTGCAAGAGGGTCAGTGCTCCCCCAGAGAATTGCAAAGGTCAGGGGAAGGCTACACACCTGCTCAGGTAGGACCTTCAGTCAGAATGGCTGAGAACTGGACTGGGGAGATGGACTTCTTTGATTCCTTGGAACAACCCATGTTTAAAAACCGGGTGTGGCATCATGTGCTTGTACTCCCCATACTAGGAAGGTAGGGGCAAACATATCCCTGGGGCTCACCAACCAACCCCGTCTATTTTGTGAGTTCCAGACCAATGAGAGATCCTGTCTCAAAAAATAAGACAGCACCTAAGGATTGACACCCAAGATCGTTCCTTGGCCTCCATGAGCACACATACTCATTGTCACAACTGTATGTCGACAGGTACACCTCGGGGACATGGCAGAACCCACAAGATTCTAACCACCATGATGCTGAGGCCCCATCAGCCTCATCAAGCACAGCTGCAAAGTCGTCTGTGCCAGGTAGGTAGTAAGCTGGGTAGGGTTCCTGGCCTGCCTGGAGGGAGATAAAGCTTCATCCTCCCTCAAACCAGGAAGTTAGTCTGTCCTAGTTGCTATTCCTCAGCCAGGGCTTGGATGTATCTCTTGTTGGGGGAGTTGGGAGTCCATTCTTGACTTGAGGGAATTCTAAAAGTGAATTGATCCGCCGAAGGAAGGAGCCGGGTGTTAGGAATAATGATTGATTCTGGATCAGATGTTCTCTCCAATACAGAACTCAGTGACTGACCATGACTGCTGCTTAAGCAGCAGAAAAGATACACAGACCATTAGGTGGGTCGGTGTTTTAATTTAGTCAGTTGAATTCTTTTTCCTAAAGAACTTCCAGGCTTTTATTTCGACCCTGAAAAGAACCGCTACTTCCGTTTACTCCCTGGCCATAACAACTGCAACCCCCTGACCAAGGAGGGCATCCGGCACAAGGAGATGGAGAGCAGGAGGCTGCAGCTGCTGCAGCAAGAGGACAAGCAGAGAAAGGTACCCAGTGCCCTCTCCCACAGCACCCATCTCCTGGGGCAGGCGGCCAGTCAGCCACCGTGGCCACCTTCACTGACTCATCCTTTTTTTTTTTTTTTAATAAACTTAGAAAATTACTAGAATGGGATTTAATGCATCTTCCATCCTACGAAAAAACCAGCTGGGTTTTCTCAACATCGCCAGTTATTGCCGGTAAGACAATGTCTTACTTTGTCTTGAATGTTCTTTCCTGTCCTTATTTCTGTAGGCCACACATCTAGTCCGAAGAGACCTTATGCTACTCTGTGACACTTCTTCATAGCTGAGGGTCTTCAGTTTGCTGGCTGCCTTCTGCCTTCTATGTCTTTTTTTTTTTTTTTTTTTCAAGATAGGGTTTCTCTGTGTAACCCTGACTGTCCTGGAACTCACTGTAGACCAGGCTGGCCTTGAATTCACAGAGATCCACCTGCCTCTGTCTCTGGAGTGCTATGATTAAAGGAGTGTGTTACCACTGCCCAGCTCCTTTTTTTATTTAAGTCAGGCATGATGGTACATACCTCTAATCCCAGTGCTCTGGAAGCAGATCCCCTGAGGTTGGAGTTACTACAGACAGTTGTGAGTTGCTGGGAATTAAACCTGAGTCTTCTCTCCAGCCCCTCTAGACTCCATCTCCAGCCCTACCTGGGTCCTTCGGATCACGAAACTCCCTCTATAGTCAGCTTTGCCTTCTACATCTTTTTTTTTTTTCAAAGATTTATTATATATGCAGTGTTACAGATGGTTGTGAGCCACCATGTGGTTGCTGGGAACTGAACTCAGGACCTCTGGAAGAACAGCCAGCGCTCTTAACCTCTGAGCCATCTCTCCAGCCCTCCTTCTACATCTTAAACAGCTCTGAGTAACTGTTTCTCTCCTCAATAATGGATGGAGACTCCTGGGAGTCAAGTGAGAGAGGAGAGGAGATTATATAGAAATTAATCCAGATTCACAATAACGTCATTCCTGAGCCCCCTACTGGTGACATAAGGCATTATGTGGGTGCCTATGTACTCAGCCTCTTGTAATGGACGGCCAGGGATGTAGCTCAGTGTAGATTAGTAGTGCTTGCTTCATAGGTCTGATTCAGTCCCCCAGCATTTCCAAAAACTTATTATTATTTTTGTGATGACTACTATAACTCTTAACTACATCTGATAAGTTGGTAATTCCCTCCCATTTTCTAAAGAGGAAATTGAAGTTCAGAGCAGAGTGGCTTGCTCCAGGTAAAAACAGAAACAGGATCTGTCTGCCTCCCACGAGTGGCCCTAACCCCTGCACAATACTGCCTCTACACACAGTGCCCACCCCCACAGGGGCAGCACACAGCCTCCTGTATTTCCCTCCCAAGCTCTTCTGTTTGAGCTGAAGAGGGCGCTGTGCTGAGGAAGAGGAAAGGGGCAGTGAGGTGAGTGGCTGCACACCTGGGCTCTTCCTTTCCACCCTGTGCCCCTCGGCAGCCTGTTCATCTCTCAGGCTAGTCCTGTCATCCAAGAGAAAGCCTGTACCAGGCGCCTGCCCGGTGAATCCCTCTGCCGTCTAACTCACTCCTTGGTGTAGGGAAGGGTTGTCTAGTTATCCCTCGCATTCTGTGTGAGAACTGATGAGGAGATAAGTGTGGGAAAAGGCAGAATCCCAGGTGTTTGCATTTCTATTTTTGAGACATGACCTTCTAGTCTGGCCTTGAAATTCTGAACCCAAATCATCTTCCTGACCTTTGGTTCACTGCCAATGGTCTACAGAGTGAGTTCCAGGACAGCCAGGGCTACACAGAGAAACCCTGTCTCCAAAAATTTTTTTAAAAATCGTCTTGGGCTGGAGAGGTGACTCAGAAGTTAAGAGCACTGGCTGCTCTTCCAGAGGCCCTAGGTTCAATTCCCAGCAACCACACAGCCATCTATAATGGGATCTGATGCCCTCTTCTGGTATAAAGGTGCACATGCAGACAGAGCACTCACACATTAAATATGTAAATAACTCTTTTTAAGATCACCGTCTTCCCACGGAGGTGGCTCTACATAAGTGCTCCCAGCATCACACTTGGGTGTCCACGCCCTCCCTGATTTCTGTTTCCCTCTTCAGCTTATCCCATGAGCTGCGGGTGAGCTGCATGGAGAGAAGAAAGGTAGAGATTCAGAGCTCAGACCCTTCTGCTCTGGCAAGTGACCAGTTTAACTTCATCCTGGTGAGTGACGCAGGTCTGGGGGTGCCCAGGTACGGCTGCCACTCCTGGCTCACTGTTAGTGCTCACTAAGCCTGGCTAGCAAGAAGCTGATTACACTGAAAATTGCTGCCTTCCTTTGGGTTTGGTGGGATTTTTTGGTGTGTGTGTGTGTGTGTGTGTGTGTCACTCTTCAGCCCTGTCCCATGATGCAAAGCCTGGGGCTAGTCACATGCTAAGAACAAAGCATCTTCTCCCCGGCTGTGGTGTGGGCAGCTGAAAGGTGTGCACAGTGGGCAGGATCCATGTGCCATCAGCTGCAGCACAGTGGTTTCTTCACTCAGGTCCCTGACCACAGTGGCAGGGTCCTAGACACCACCATCCTATCTGTCACTCATAGGAAGTGGAAGGTCTCTATTTACTGAGATCTGCGTTGGGTGGAAATGAAGGCCGCTATTAGAGCTTGAGGACAGTGGAGCCAGAGTGTGCCCTGCCCGTAAAGGATGCTCCCCTCTCCGTGGGCCTACTCAGTGCATGTCTTGCCAGGCCACATCCTTCCTGGAGGCCAAAGAAAAGCCTGGGAGAGTGAGACTAGGGCCATGGAAGTGGTGATCTGCTTACAGGATGGGAGACCAAAGCCACAAAGTGAACCTTAGGGAGGCCTCGTGGCCCAGGAGACATTGACCACAGAGCCTATCCATAAAGGGAGTATTGGGGCCAGGCCTAGATTTTCCGCTGCTGCAACCTTTATGATGGCAGTGTGATCTCAATCAGTAGACACTTGGCTGCAGTGGGTCCCCTCACACCCTTCCCTGGCACTAGGGTGCAGTCTGCTAATGCATGTGTCTTTGGCAGAGCAGCCTCCCCGTCACCAGCATCACATGTGCCTGGCTGGCTTGAATGGCCAGAGAACTGGGAAGGCAGTTTTCCACATCTGATTCTCATCACCAGTAGCTTTATCCAGGCACGTAACTCTTCAAGCTTGCAGAGTAGGGGGAAGTAAGTGTGTGTGTGTGTGTGTGTGTGTGTGTGTGTGTGTTCACTTGTGACACAAGCACATGATTACATATAAAAAAAAACAATCTCAGCACTTGGGAAGCAGAGGCAGATGGATCTCTGTAAAGAGAAGCCTTCCTGCCAGCCTGGTTCCAGAGCCACATCAGTCCCAAATAAACACACAGGAGGCTATATTAATTATGAAGCTGTTGGCCTTGCTTGTTTCTTACTGGCTAGCTCTGACTTAAGTATTTATCCCATAATTGTTAATCTAAGTATCTCTCTTACCGGAGAGGTTTCCAGGCTTCCTACCCCATGGCGTTACATGTTGACTCTCTTGTGCTTCTCCTTCCCAGAGTCCTCCTGGACTCCTAGTCCCACCTATCTAGATTCCTATTGGCCAGCAGTGCTTTATTGACATATACATAGGACTTCCCCCCAACAGATCTCTGTATGTTCAAGGCCAGCCTGGTCTATGGACAGGCTCCAAAACTACACAAAGAACCCAGTCTCAAAATCCCCCCCCCCCCCGCAAAAAAGGTAAATATTAATATTTTAGTTTGAAATAATAATGTTATGCTTTCTTTGGAGTAGTTTTGGGTGGAAGCTTTTTGAGACAAGGGAACTGTGTACCCTAGGCTGGCCTCAAACTCAGTTCTCCTGCCTTAGCTTCCTAAATGTTAGTATTACAGGCACTTTATTGAATTTTTAAATTAAATACTGCAGGGTCTTACTATGTAGCTGGCCTAGAACTCAGAGTTCTCCATGGCTTTCAAGGTGGCTATATGGGTATAGTCCTCTGGGCCAACATTAAGATCCTCCCAGACTGTTCTGAGGTGGTCACTAAGGACACCAGACTTCCAGGCCATATCCTCTCTTTACCATCTTTATCCATACCTCAGAAATGGCAGGGCAGAGTCTGAGCTTTGCTGGAAATCACTGCATTGAGCAGGAGCAAAGGTAGGTGTCCCTGCTATATTCCCTCATGCAGTAGAGCTTAGGCAGTCACATGGCTCAGCCTGAGAGATCACTTACAGCCCGTTTCCCTCCAGGCAGATACTAGCAGTGACCGCCTCTTCACAGTGAATGATGTCCAAATCGGAGGCTCCAAGTACGGCATCATCAACCTGCAGGGTCTGAAGGCCCCCACGTTCAAGGTGCACATGCACGAAAACCTGTACTTCACCAACAGGAAGGTGGGTCCTGCCTTGCCTCGCCAGCCTTGCAGCCAGCTTGCCTTTGGGCCTAGGACACTGCTGTAGTTGGGAGAGGAATGTAGTTGAGGTGGTGGGGTGGCCTTGAGGCCGTGTGCTTTAGCTGGCCATCAGGACCTCCTTTTCTGAAGGGTCAGAGCTGATGTGAGGAGGTGTGGTTCCTGGGCTGCAGTGGTCACAGCCTGGGTGGAGTCCTCCCGTGGCCATCACAAATGTCAGGTGTTCTCCATCCAAAAGCAACCTTAAGCTGTCTAAGAGGCTGGGGCTTCCTATTCAGCAGGGACGTGAGCCACAGGGTAGATCCGGGAAGCCAGGCGTGGTTCCTAGAACCTCAGTACACAAGAAGACTGAGACTTAAGGTTAGCCTAAGCTACGAGGTGAGCCTAGCTGTATTTTTTCCTATCTTAGATGAGGCAGAGGAAGGAAGGAAAGAAAGAAACCCCTAATGTGTGAAGCAGGACACAGGATACCTTCGGTTAAAAGTAGACTCATCTCCTGGCCCTGTAAATTATAAGTGGGCGTGGGGAGGGGGTATACCAGCTACCTTAGCATGGGACCCACGATGGCGTGCCCAAGGACTGAAGCCTGAAGTTTGCTTCCTTCCTGCACCTCTTAAGTCCCAATATGTCTGAGCAGGGAGCCCCACTATCCTCAGGATGCTCCTTCCAGCCTATTTTAAGAGCAGTACCTGAAGAAAGAAATCACATGGCAGATAAGTTGGGGATTCTCAACCTTCTTAAAGCGTGCCCCTTTAATACAGTTCCTCATGTTGTAGTGACCCCAGCCATAGAATCATTCTGTTGTGACTCATAATGTAAGTATTTAATATGCAGGATATTTGATAAGCAAGCCCTGTGAAAGGGCCGCTCTACAACCCTCCCGAAAAGGGGTTGCAACCCACAGGTTGAGGACCTCTGGGTTGAGGAGTAGCGTAGTGGTAGAGTGTTTGCCTAGTATGTTCAGAGCTTTGAATTCACTGTCAGTACTGTGAGGGGCAGGCATCATGAGTCTGTGTCCCTACAGGTCTTTTCTTGTTTAATTTGAAGGGTGTGTATGTGTTCATACATGCATACGCACATGCATGTACATGTGTCTGTGTGTGTCCAGAAGAGGTTGTTGAATCTCCTGGAACTGGAGTTACTGGGTGTGGGTGCTGGGATCCAAACCAAGGTGCTCTGTAAGAGCAGCAAGTGCCGAGCCCTCTCTCCAGCCCCTAAAAGGCATTTTCTAGAAAAGCCTCTGACTATTGTTCCCATGAGCGGCAGCCAACCTAGTCTCTCTTCCCGCTCCCTCCCCAGGTGAACTCTGTGTGCTGGGCCTCGCTCAATCACTTGGATTCCCACATCTTGTATCCTTTGGTAGGTGAATAGGTTTAGCGGACAACCATCAGTGGAGACGGCAGAGAGGTGAACCCTTGTCTCACTTTTTGGGCATAGACTACACCTGGGTCCACATCAGCAACTGGAGTCCAGAGATGACTGCTGACGGGATGAAGTCCCTGTGTGCCAGACATCTGGGCCTTGATGTGTAATTGTTAGAGATAGCACTGCACTCTAGGAAGCCTGACTCCATGTGCTGTACCACTGACATACAGTAGTCTCAGCTTCTTGGGTCACCAGACAAACCCAGCATCCCTCCCTGCCAGGGGAGTCAGCCATGAAGGAGTAAAGTATTAGCGCAGTCCTAAGAAGGTACCCAGCTGTGAGGTGGAAAGCAGTGATTAGGGACACTGAGGAGGTGGTGAGCGGAAGTACTTTGACATGGAGCACAAGGCTGCAGATCTCAGACCTGTGCCTTCAGAACACTCTGGTTTCCGGCCTCTTCTCTAGGAACACAGTGGGGCTTATTTAACGCACATTCGTGACACTTGTCATTGGCTCATCCCATAACCAATGAGTTCTTCAGTCTGTGCGCTGTCATTGAACTTGAGACTTCATCATATGCACAGGCAAATACACACGCAGACGTGTTACACCATGGCCTCAGTGGACTCACGTCACTGAAAACCCTAGTTCTCTGGTAGAAGACAGGAAACAGGTTTCAAGGGACTAACTTAACTGTCTGTGACATATTCCTGAAGAAATGTACAAAGTGTTATATCTGGACTCCCCACTCTACTTTGGGTTTTATAACTTCCTGAAAGTTCCTGATGGCCACTCTTCCCCCAGGAGGGCCGTGTCAATACCTGGCTATCCTTGACAGATCCTTTGCAGGCTGTGCCTCATGGGCCTTGCAGAGACTCCAGGCTGTGCCACCCTGCTCCCGGCATCACTGTTTGTCAGCAGTCACCAAGGTACAGAGTCCCTTCCTTTGTCTCGAGGAAGGCCCGTGTCCTCTGGATGATCCCAGCTCAGCATAGGAGGCAGGATGGGCAGCAGGGTGGGAGGCTTCCCAAAATCTGTCCCAAGATCACTTTTTATTTATTTGTCTATTTATTTATCTGTCTATTTATTTATTGGTTTTTCGAGACAGGGTTTCTCTGTATTGTTTTTGGAGGCTGTCCCGGAACTCGCTCTGTAGACCAGGCTGGTCTCAAACTTACAGAGATCCGCCTGCCTCTGCCTCCCAAGTGCTAGGATTAAAGGCGTGCGCCACCAACACCCGGCTAGGATCACTTTCTATAAACCCCTTGAGGTCATCTCTGCAACCAGAGCAAGGTGCACGTGACTAGCCAGCAGAGGACGTGTAAACACTGGTCTGAGTTGCAGCCTGTGGCGATCATTCAGAAGGTGTTGGTTAAGCTCCCAAATGTGGTAGGCATGCTGGCCGGCGGGAAGCAGTTTGACCTCTGCATGCGGGCGGTCTGCAGACATCAGGCAAAGCTAACCCAAAGCACAGCCGCTCCAGTCCCACATTGGAGCACATTGCCTGACCTCTGGAAGATGGAGGCAGTGTCTACCCCAGCAGGTTCCTCTTGGAGGTAGAGGAGGCCATGAGCATTTAGCCCTGTCTGCATCTTGCTGCCCCGCAAACTTATGGGGCATGGATCTTACCACTGTGCAGATATGGAAACGGGGGTGAAGAATGAGTCAGGATTTCACCCCACGAAACTCAGTTTTAGTGTTGGAAGTCTTGATGGTAACTCCCTCAGGAAACAATATGAAATGAGGTAGAAACTGGAAAAGGATGTGAGGGAGGCTTCTGGGATACCGGTATGTCTTAGTGGTGGGCACATGGCTGGATTTACCCCTCGAGATGTTCTGTCAGTTCAAAGTTTTCAGTGTTTGACTTGAGCGCGCTGTAAGTATTGGGACAAGGATTGAAACCACATTCCTGTGACACTGCCCCGTCACAGCTGTTAGCACTATGAATGCCACGGTCTGGACTGAGAACATGAGTTGCTCCTTGAGCAGACATCTGACCTTCAGGCAATCTTGATTTATTAGATCATAAACAAATATCACCACAGGTGGCCCTGTTTTCCTTTGTTTCTCTTAGCAGGTACAGACCAGCCTGGTGTGCTCTGCAGTTTCCGGATCCCTGGTGCCTGGACCTGTGCATGGTCCCTGAACACCCAGGCAAATAACTGCTTCAGTACAGGTGAGCTGTGGTCATAGCCCCGGGTGTCAAGTAAAGAACTCACCCGCCTGAAGGCCTCACCCAGCAGCACCTCTCCCCAAACTGCCAGCATCCCTGCTCTCAGGGACCCATTTCTTGTCTCCACCAGGTATGTCTCGAAGGGTCCTGTTGACCAATGTGGTGACAGGACACCGGCAGTCATATGGGACCAACAGTGATGTCTTGGCTCAGCAATTTGCAGTCAAGGTTGGTTGGATTGGGAAGGGTATAACAGAATGTCGCCAGAGTGAAATGTTCGGGGGAGTGAAACTGGGTTTTCCTGGTGTAGAAAAAGCGTGGAAATGATCATTGGGTACTTTGTTAATTGGTTAGTTTGTTTGTTTGGGATTTTTTTATTGGTTGCTTTGATTTGGTTTCCTTGAGACAGAATCTCACTATGTAGCTATGGCTAGCTAGGAACGCACTTGTAGGCCAGGCTATCTTTGAATTCAGAGATCACTCTGCCTCAGCCTCCTGAGTGCTGAGATTAAAGGTATGTGCCACCATGCCCAGCAGGATTTGTTTGTTTTTTCAAGATAGGTGTAGCCTTGGCTGTCCTGGAATTTGCTTTGTAGACCAGGCTGGCTTCGAACTCAGATCTGCCAGTTCCAGGCCAGTCTGGTCTACAAAGTGAGTTGCAGGACAGCTAGGGCTACCAAAAAAAAATTGTCTCAAAAAAAAAAAAAAGGAAGAAAAGACGTCTAAGGGGACAGTGGTGCTACCTCCCAGCACCTAAGGTTCACCACAGGGTGGACACTGGAGAGACACAGGGTCCATGTCTTCTTCCCTCTCATAAGAACTCTGCCTTCCTTCTGAACCCATCAAGACCCAAACTCCTACCTACTCCCATGCCAGGACACACCCTTCCATCTTTAGAAAAACTGGGCACTGCCTCTCTCTCCATAGACTCCCTTATTGTTTAATGGCTGTCGTTCTGGGGAGATCTTTGCCATTGACCTGCGTTCTCCAAGTCAAGCCAAAGGCCGGAAGGCTACCCACATTTTCCATGATTCAGCAGTGACTTCTGTACGGGTCCTCAAGGAGGAGCAATACCTGATGGCATCAGACATGGCTGGAAAGGTAGGAGATCCTGACTTCAGGCCTTGGAATGATAGGGTGCAGGTGTGCAAGAGACCACGACACCAGGGAGGGCTATCCTAAGTTCTTGTGCTGCTCCGCATGAGCTTAGTCTTGCCTAGACAGGGAGCGGAAGAGCCTGTGGCTCTGTGACTCATGGACTCAAGTTTCAGCAGTAAGAGGCTTCGATCTCCACACTCTAACAGACCCCTAGAGGTCACCTCACCTTTCCAGCTTCATACCTGGCAGTCGCTGAGTTCCTGCTACACCCTTCCCGAGTAACCCCTTGTGTGCTTCTTCTCCCAGATCAAGCTGTGGGACCTGAGGACCACTAAGTGTGTGAGGCAGTATGAAGGTCATGTGAATGAGTATGCCTACCTGCCCCTGCATGTGCATGAGGAGGAAGGAATCCTCGTGGCAGGTGTGTGGGGAAGGGAAGATCCCATCCATCAAAGGCTGCCTGTGAGGGCTCTCACATCTTAAACAGCAGAGGGCAAAAGTGGTAAAACTAGCATTAAGTAATGGGAATTATGGGCCATTGACAGCATCACCTCAGAAACAGACAGGTGATGAACACCATACACAGCAGCTGGGGACTGAGTTGGCTTGGAGGTCAGGCCTCCCTCTTTGAGTCATGGGATTACATGAGGCACCATCTTGTCTAAATGCTGTCCACTCTGCTCACATTCCCTCGGGATGCTGAGAACTTAAGGGTACCCTGGCCCCTTCACATCACCCGTGATCTACAGAGGAGCAGCAGCTATCTGGCCACTAAGCCCTGAGGGAGTTAAAGTAACTACAGATCGTACTGTTTCCAGGCCACAACACAAAGTCAGTGTTTCTACATGTGGAGCAGTAGGCCCCTGACATGTGTTAATGGCCCCACAGACGGTACTCATTCCCTGTTAAATTCTTGGGCTAAGCAGCATTACTGTGCCAGCACTTAAGTGTGCTCACCATCTTCAACACCAGCACTGGGCTTGCTCCGAAAGCGATGCTCCTCAAGTCTTCATCTCAGAGTTTTCATGTGCTGGATGGGAGACTCAAGATGAGCCGCAGTAGTGAACCACACAGCCCAAGTGTATCCTCTGCTGAGGCACACTATGGTCCTACCAGCACTCAGTTGGAATCTGATTGCTGAAGCCCCCACAGATCCCTAGGAGCATACAGCATCTGGGCTGCCATAATCCGTGTGTCCCATGCCACATTGCTCTAGGAGTCCTGTGGAATTTTCACTTGAATTCTTCAATCAGAAATAGCGGTCATCTGCCCTGCCAGGATGTAATAAAGTTAAGAGATCTTCCTGGCTAGTTCATCAAAAGGAACCCAGCTGCCTGGCTTCTGGCTCAGGTGGGCTGGACTCCCACTTGAGAAGGCTCCCTGCCCCTGAAACAGGGTGCCAGCTGAGCCCCTGCTGTGTCACAGCCAGCCAGTGCATCTTTGTCACTTTGAACACATGCAGCTGGTTAGGGTTCAGGAACAAAAGCCCAACTCACAGTCTCAATTTTAAGAAATAGAAGCAGAAACCCCTTCGACCCATGGGTGTGTGTTTGGGCTTAGTACAATCTAAGCCCTAAGAGGTCCTAAGAAGCTGTGTCTACACGCCGTGACTTTCTTCATTCTCTTACTAACGTGCTGTGTTGCCTTCCCTCTTTCTCAGTGGGCCAAGACTGCTACACCAGAATCTGGAGCCTCCATGATGCACACCTGCTCAGAACCATACCTTCTCCTTACCCCACCTCCAAGGCCAACATTCCCAGTGTGGCCTTCTCTCCTCGCCTTGGGGGCCCCCAGGGAGCCCCAGGGCTGCTCATGGCTGTCCAGCAGGACCTTTACTGTTTCTCCTACAGCTCATCCTGTCCAGGCAGTCTGGAGGAAGGCAGCTGGGAGTAAAGCTGGAGTGCCAGGATTAAAGATGGGTGTCACCACCGCCCTGTTCTAACAAGGACTTTTAAGTGAAGCTTGTGGTATCCAGACGGTGTCCTTCCCGCTTGAGGGCAGTGCAAAGTGATTGACATGGGGGGGGGGGCCTGGAGAGATGACTCTGCTGTTAAGAGCATTGGCTGCTCTTCCAGGGGTCCTGGGTTTGACTCGCAGCACCCACATGGCAGCTCACAGCCATCTTTGACTCCAGTTCCAGAGAAGTCAGCACCCTCTTCTGGCCTTGGCACCACGGATGCATGAGGTACAGACCTAACATGCAGTCAAAAAAATACAGTTTTTTCTAAGTAGTTTCTGTGGGTTAACTTCAGTAAAACGGCAGTTAAATTGTGGGCTGAGAGCATGAAAGGCCTTGTCACAAGAGGGGCTTACTGGCTTTTCCTATTGAGTTCCACAGATAGGCCCCCTTCATTGGCAAAGCAGACTCTGGGATGAAGACCAATAAAACAAAATTAGTTAAAGCTGCTGCTTTCACCAGGAACCTCCCAGTGGTGGTGACTTCCTGAGTGTTCAGCGCTGCAGCCCAGGAAGACCTGCATCTGCCCTGGAGAAGGCATCTGGGGTGCAGAGGGGACAGCAGGCCGTGGCTTTGTGTCTGAGGAGGGCCATTACTCATTGCCATCTCAGTGCCAGTAAGTCCTGGGTTCTTTTGTTACTGTGCACGGGCATTGCCAGGGAGACAGAGCCTTGCAAGTGCTACGGCTATAAACATCCCTGAACATGCCTTTCTTGAGTTTTCCAGGATGTAAGGGACAGCGACTTCTGTTACAGTGACTTGAGTGTCACTTCTAAAGCCCAGGGCCAACTTTGGCTTTGACCTTTTTGTAATCTTGGAGCTGCAGTTTATGAAATATTTATAGTGTTAAAATCCTTTCTACCTATCAATAAAGTAAAAAGAAGCATGTGTGGTATATTGTTTCTCCATCTGATTCAGATCTTGATCCCTGAAGCTGGTGAAGCATCAAACTGAGCTTGCCGAGTGTGGAAAGAGACCCTAAGACCAACTCCAATAGCTTGCTGGGGACCTTCAGGTTGCCCTCTGCACCACTGCTCTGCGCATGCTCCAGGAGGCTGCTCTCTACACCTCTCCAGCCCCCCTGTCCCCAGCAGTCAGTGGGAAAGCAGAGGGCAACGGAGCACTGGGGTGGGATCGATGGTCCTCTGGCTCCCTTCCTGTTGGGACTATGAGTATCTGTGACCAGAGGCCATGGCTCTCTGTGCCCTATGACTATTCTATTTGTCTCAAACATATAATGCCTGTTAGGCACAATGCTCCCCAATTAAGCAAGTACCCATTGTGAATTCATCTTTTTCCCCAAGACCCCTAATATAAATAACTTGCATGTAGAATATCACATATCTACTATTCTTACTATCTAAAATTTTAGCCGATCCTTGTAACAACTCATAAAGGGCAGGGAATACATAGTAACATCAGTGTCATCTTAAGATGAGGAAACCAGGGTCCAGGCTCTGTGCTACAACATGTGCTGGACACGCAGGAAGCACTGGCTTTAGGCAAAAGGCTGTGGCGATTTAAACCGTCCTCTTCAGAGGCCACAGCCTAAGAAATACAGGCTGTAGATTGTAAGGACAAGGGGTGTCAGGATAAAGTAGCCTTTAAAGCATGGCAGTGGCTAAGATCACTCAGCACCAAGGCAACGAGTGTTCTGTTGACTACAAACCATCAGATGGCTCTGGTCACATGCAGAGCCTGGATCTATGACAGATACATGGGGGGGGGGGCATATGACAGCAGCTCCACAAGGGTGGAGTATGTGCAGTACATATTGTAAACAGTAACTTAATCTAGTTCCATTAATGAGAATATACAGGCACAGATTCAGTTTCCTCCCTGAAGATGATTCTTAAGTTAGAAATGCAAACATGTTTGCACAATTACCATTATGACGGGGCTTTTTTTTTTTCTTACAACACCTGGAAGCCTGTTCCCAACTAGAACAATCTATGACCTCTGAGCCAGTTGCTGTTGTCACGTGTCACGAACGTCAGAACAATAGGAAAGGTTAGGCTGCCAGGCCCCCCTTATGGTAATGGAGAGTGGCTTTTAAACTTCTCTGGGGGAAGGGGGTTCCGACCTTCCTGCAAATGCAGGATCCACAGCCTGTGAAAGGGAAACATACAGAAGTACTTTGGCACCTGGCACACCTTCCAGCCTGTGGGGGAATGTCCCGCGCTACC